AATAAGGGCAAAGATGAGTTGGATAAGAATTCCATGAAAGGACTTTTCAATTCACAGGGCTCAATAATTCAGCCAACATACTACCGTTTTGAATAAAACCAAAGAAACTGGTAAACCTGGTAAACCTGGTAAAACTGGTGAACCTCGTGCTCGTGTTAATTTCTTTTCACACAGATTACTGTAAAAAATACCAAGAATCAGTTTTTAATATCATCGGATATGGCTATATGGTAGCATTATTCCAGGAAAAAGGAGTCATATGGATGCCGCACTCAATCGCGGTAGATCATTTGTGAAAGACATCTTAGTGGTTGCTCATATTGATTACTTTTGTACGTACAAGGCTGCCAGGTCATGCAAACAGCCCCTCGATATCTCAGAGCATACTTGAGGAAATTCCCAAGTAAATGCATGAGCGGTGTTAATTACACCAGTGTTGTAGGTTTGACTGTGCGCAATCTCCGTAATGTGCCCGCAGGACTTCCGCGGATGGGCACACCAAATAACCACGAATATAAGTTAAATGAATGCATCACCTGGCAGATCGAGCCTACAGGATCCACCATTTTCCAAGCTAATTATTTCATATTTATGTAGGTGAATTCTACATTCTTTTGGATTCTGAACCTTGGAGAGCGGTCGTATTTTCGATATTTAGTTGCTTTTCGACGAAGTTAGATTCGTTGCGCCCAATGAGCAGCGAATTCATCAGCTGCTCACTTCACCCGATGCATATTTTGTGCCTGATTTGTTTCAGTTTCGGGGTAGGGTAACTTAACTAGTCAGCCCCTACAACTACCTGATCCGGCAGATTGAAATATTTCAAAGCTTAGGACAAGGTGATGAGTAGATGGGGAAATGTCAAGGTAAAGATCATTTACCAAATGCGATTTCTTCGCCCGCAGGCATGTTCAATAGCCTAGTATAGCATTCTTCTCCAAATTTCTAGAACCCGAGATGTTTTATGGCAATTTGGACCAAAGTTACTGTCACAACCCATGGGTAGTTTCAGTTGGACGTTCAGCGCTGCTGTGTTGCTTATACGATACGCTGGGCCAGTCAGGAAACTTGCTTTGACACGATTTTCTGCTATCTGGTAGTGTACAATGTTTTGAGTTGGATATACTTCAATAAACGCTAAAATCGTCTTGATTTCACGATTTTTTTTATCAATGCTTTCAAGATGTTCAGAGAACGGTATCGGTTAGCAAATTATAATGTCCTTGCCGTATCATCTGTTACTTATTATCGGTCCCACAACCTCAAATTGTTGTCAAGGTTATGTCTCGTTACCGCCTAGTACCGAGTGAGTGCACTTAATTGTGTGCTTTTGGGCACAGTGGCCT